AGTATTTACAGTGCCGAAATGTAGCTGTGTGCTAAACACAGCTGCGCTAGGTCTCCGTATCGTGGCGCGTCGATTGCAGTTTTTTTTTTATCAGTGTTTTTCACTGAATTAATATTTTGTCTTCAAAAATTCGGTAAAAAAAGTTCGTGGCATGGCAGAATTTCATCTGATGGTTCCGGGAATTTTTTTTTTTTTTTTTTTTGAAGTGCTTGGGATCTTTATGTACAAAGCGCAAAGCGAATATTTTTTTTAGGTGCAGATGGAAATGATCGCACAAATGGTCAAGGCCGAGTCAAGTGCAAAAGAAGACAGCAGAGGTTAATCTCTTTTTTTTGGCTTTTACAACTGTTACTGTGAGCAGGACAGGTCAATTACCCACGGCGTAGCTTCGGGGTTCACCCTCTCTGTAGTGCCTCTGGTAATTCCTGCATGGCTAGTCTCGGCCACGTTTCCGTGTATCGATTGCTGGTCGATATCTGACCCTGACGTGACATCTCTGCTATGAGGGAAGGGCGAAGCGGTAAATGCAGGCATGCGTTTCTGCACTGTTTTGCAAGAACGTTTTGGAAAGGTTCAAAAATCCCGAGCAGTCAGCAAGCGTTGAATCTACTTTGACTTTTGCTGTTAACACAAAAAAGTGAAGTTTTCACCATTTAACGCACATAAATGCTGAGCTGGGCTCAGTTCGTGTGACGCCGTTCGCATCAAATGACTGCAGTTTTATTCTTAAAGGAGCTGTTGCGATTTTTTATGCTTTTTTTTTCCTGCATGTTGTATCCGATCCAAAAATAAGTTCAAACAGTTTTTCCAGAAGAACCTGTGCAAACGGAGCATCGTCCGAATCACGCAGGGACATCTGGCGAAACACCGCCAGTCGCCGTGGACACTGATAATCAGAAATCGAAATTTTTCGAAGGCGGACACAAAAGAGGAAAGAAAAGGGCTCTGGAAAAAACACCAGAACAACCGGAAAGGCCACCAACGCCAACGGAAAGTGAGGAAAATCATTAGTATTTAGTAAGAGAGAGAGAGAGATCTTATTAAAACTGATCACTGGGACCCCTGTCGTTGCGGGAATGCAGTCGCACTCAGCAAAGCGGCTGTAATTGATCTCTACAAAAGCCAGTACGGACCAGAAGGGCCCTGTAAGGAAAAGAACAGATGGCCGGGACAGCGGCCCCATAGCTAAGGGTATTACCCGGAAGGGCGCCAAAGTTCGTAAGCGAAGTGGGAAAGCGCCGTGGTGGAGCGGTGATCGCCCAAGGTTGTCTGCCCTATGTAAACTATATTTTCGTAACTTCGAGTAGCGGTTCAACAATTCCTAAAGCAGTCACTTTTCCTTTACATTCGGTGAAAAATCAAAACGAGCATTTTTAATTTTTTATTTGTTTTTATTGCATTGATCTCAGTGCCGGGGGTTTTATTATGTATTTTTGTACGTTTATGAAACGCAAAAACGCATATTGCCAAGAGGTCGACAGTTTATGTACGTGTGTTTGTCTGTGTGTTTGGGGTTATCATCCATTCGCTGCTTCGCAACCGGAAAGGGCGGAGAGCTAAAATTTTAGGAACGTATTTCCACTGCACGTATAACTTCCCCGTTTTGAAACTATCATATATCATTTATATACGCTTTGATCTCACGTACAGACCCCTAAGGAACTTCTGAATTTTTTGGCGGAAAATGATTTCGAGAACTAGTTAGTGTAGAAGGCTAAAATTTTAAAGGGTGTTTCATACACATGTATATACTGGTTTTCAAACTGATCATCAAGTGTGCCTACGTTTCACGTACGACCACGTCAAAGTTCGTCGTTCGCATCGCGCTGGCTCTCCCACCTAAGCTAAATTTTGGACCATATCCGTACCACGTGTAAAAGCACTCCAAAGATATTTGTAGCAAAATGGTGACTTCGAGGACTAGGCAGGTTAAGAAGCTAAAATTGTATGAGACTATTCTGTGCCTGTGCGCGGCTCGAGGAATACCTAGATCTATCGTTACATACTAGCAGAATTTTATTTTAGGCAGTTTTAGCACTCATTTATTCTATGTTTAGAGTAAGCAGGAAGCCGCGGTTTCGTTATGAGGATTACTCTCCATGTGCAAACTGTATGCGTAAAAATTAGCTTCTGCTTTAGCATGTATCCTGTGTACAAGTGCGTCAAATGTTCAAACTGCAACATCTTTGTTAGTATCTATCGGTATTAGAAATTTTTTTAAGATTCTAGCGCCTAGCGCGCCATAATAACGTAGAAACAGCTTTCATAAATGTCTAATTCTCGCATACGAATGTGCCGAATTTGAGGGTAAGTTTTTGCCGACAGCACTTTGATCACATAAAAGCAGTTGAGTTGTCACAATGCTTAATAATTCAACACTACCGTCCCTTTCCCCCTTGCATGCAAGAGAAGACCAAAACACTGCCAACATGAGTGCACATATTTAACTGTAAAGCAATTACCATTTATAATTTATTGAACTGATTGCTTCAAGATTAGCACAAAAACTGATAGTTTTGCAGGAAACTTTGGTGCATATTACAGCTTGGGTTTTCATATGCGTATTTGTTCAGTCGGTTGCGAAATTTCACTTTTTTATCGGTTCGTAACATTTCTGAGAGCTTCAAACTTTATTACAATTTTTTACAGTTATTCAGCAGCGGGAGCAGGAGTGGCGTGAGCGTCAGCGTAAACGGCGGGAGAAACATAAGCGGCGTCAAAATGAATTGTCGGAATGTTGGAATAATGACGGTTGGTTTATTTGCAAAATAATCATTGTCATGCATAAAGAGTTAGGGGATTTCACCGCCAAAAAGTTACTGTATGAGCGAGGGTATTTCGGTTTTTACAGTTTTATAAAACGTGGGTACTGACTGCATTTGAAGGATGTAATACCGATGTTTGCTATGGCAGTAAAAGGTTATTTACGTTAGGTCATTTCTAGCAAACCTGGAAATCGCAATAATGTAAAAAGTCATCGATGAATAGCGTACTGAAGAATGCAGTTGGGCTCTCTTTACCCTATTTTTTTTTACTAATTCTTCGTCGTCCTCGCTTTATCTTGAATATTCCCAATAGCAACATCCTGTTGTGGCTATAGTTTCCATAATGGCAAAGAAAACATGGGTAATCATATCCTAGAACTTAAGCAATGTGACCGTGGTTTTTCTTTTTGTGATATAAGCGATACTAGTGCAATTTTTATGCGTTTTACGCTGTGTAACAGCAGCACAAGACGCATATTATCATACCTTTCTCTGTGTGTGTTTTCCTGTGCATCTGTCTGGGTGCATTTTTTTATCTCGCAGTTTAAACTCGGGGAACTACAAAAGCTAGGTAAAAAA